ATTTCAAAAAATTAAAAATAAAAATAAAAAAGGTTTGTACAAAAATATTAAACTGTATAAAATTTTTATGTTAATTACCCTTTTAATAATTTATTTAAACTTATTTGCAAATTTTTCAAAAAATGAAGAGCATAATTGCAAATTGTTCTTCAATTTTCTTTCTTTTTTTATTATTTATATAGGAAGATATATTTGTCATTTTACATTTTTTTTATTGAGAAATTATATTAAAATGACATTTTTAACAATGAGATGTAAAAATAGGAGTGAAAATGTCAAAAAAATAAAAGGCAGAAACGTTTTGTACAATAACCTAATATTGAAAGATAAAGACATTTTGTACTAATTACCCAATTAACTAGTGACACAAGCCAGAGTGTGAGCGTTGGGAACAGGGCACAGATGTGAAGGTTCAAATATCTTATACTGCTGCAACTTTCTGAACTTTATTTGGACGAGATGCAGAATCTGAAGAACGAGAATGCTTTCCATTGAAATGCCTACCTCCTCTGTTGTGCTTTCCTCCCCTGTAAAGAAGTGGATATTGTCTTGGGACAAAGTTGGAGAGACGAGGTTGGAAAAATTATAACTAAAAAACTTCCTTCCCAAAGCTCCTGGTCCCATCCGCTTCCCCCTGCGGCCCTCACTATTAGATTATATTTCCATGTCTAGGTCAATAAAATCATAGAAAATCGGAGATTAATTCCATTGTATAGCTAATTATTTTATTTCCTTATATAGCATGTAATATTTTATAAATCCAATGTAATACACAGGAAAGGATTCATTATGCAAAATATTGACATGGTATCAAGAGCCCTAAGTTACTTACTCGTGCGTGTAATTTTGAGTTATTGGCTCTTGATTCATAATAATCGGCGCTCGTGTCTCAGGCGTCATTTGGATTCTTCGAATTACCTACGTATTTTGTCTCAAGCTCTTCTCTTGTGTTCTTGGTCAGAGGTATTACAACTTCGCTGCTCAATATCTTGGTCATCATCTTGCGTCGCACCTCTTAGTTCGCGCCGTCTAGTGGTGTTGGTCACAGTTTCCTTCTTAGTTTGACTGTTGATTCTTGGTCGCAGTAGGTTTTCAACATCTCCGTGTTGGGTTGGTGATTTTTGCATATCATATTGAAGTCTTTGACCTCAGGTTACACTCGTTTCTTCTCTCCTTTCGTGGACTGACGTTTAGATCGTGTTGGATCATGGGTGTATGATTGTGTAATTGGGTTGTGGTGTTGATGGGCTATTGATTTGGGCTACCATTAATTGAATAGTGTTGGGTAGTGCGTTTGGGCTTAATTAAGGCCATCAATTAAATAGTGTTGGGCTATTTTTTTAATTAATTATTAGTTGGGTTGAATTATTCAAATTGGGCAGAATTTATTTGGTTAAATTTTGATTATTTTGGTTGGACAATACGAGATTGCATCACGTCAATTGATAAGAATGAATTGGCTTGTATTCGCTTTACTGGAAAAGAAATTATTATTCATGGGCTTTTACTTTCAATTATTGGTTGAAGGCAAAGGTGATCTGTAGGGACATTGATAGACGTCTTCTGCCTCCTGATCAAGAGAAGGATAAAAAAAAAATGTATTTTGCTTGGAAAACCAAAGATTACTTCAGTTGGAGTTTGAATTAGCAAATTTCTCCCAAGAGTCCCGTTCCATTGAAGAACATTATTCAGAATTTTCTATCTTTGAGCTGACTATACAGATATTATCTATGCTTCGGTTTCATCAAATGGCATGGATACAATTTAGAGGCTATCCAAGCTGTACACGAAATCTCCAAAAGGGATCAATTTCTTATAAAATTGCGAACTAAATTTGTATCCATCCGATCCAGTCTTATGAATCGCGAGTTTATTCCATCATTGGATGGTTGTTTGGGTAAATTACTGAGGAAGGAGCAGCGTCTTATCACTCGTACCTCTTTGGAATAGCAGTAGAATCATGTAGCACCGACTCCTATTGCTTATATGGCTCAAGGAAAATTTAAGCCTCAGATATGTCTAGTGTGCAATGTTATAGCGGTAAGAGATTTGGTCATTGGCTCTTTAGTGTCCCAAAAAAATTAGCAATTATTACAAGAAGTCTGACCATGATTTTAAAAAGTGCCCCACTTGTACTCCACACAAGATTGGAGCAAATTATATTGCTATTGCCACTTTAGCCTCTAGCTCTACTTCACCACCTACTCCTATTCAAGTTCTAGAGTCTTCCAACTCTTCCTATACTCCCATAGCTCCTGAGAGCGCTTTTACCTTTTTTTAAAAATAATTTAACAACTCTCTAAATTCAGTTAATTGTTAAAAGATGCGTACATCAAAACATCGTTACATATTTTCTATATTCCACATTATTCACGTTTTTGTATTTTAGTTTTTAAAAATAAATTAAGCAAGCGTAACCTCCATCAACTTCATTAACAAAGTTTATGGGGGTAAGTCAAAATTGACTTGCACAAACTATCAATTCAAGATTTGTTTATAGATTATTTACTTGATCCCTTTTGATTATCTTATGATACTGATTATCTCAAATTAAGACCCTAATCTCAAACCAAAAACTGTACTGTGTGTTCTCAATATGTTAGTTGTAATATTTACAATGTTACGTGATCCCAAATAGTACGTTTGAATCCGGAACTAGTCTTTAAAAGTGAGATTGAGATCAAAATTGATGCGGTCCAAGATTCATTAAAAGTAGGCGATCTTATGTTATTTCACATATAAATCTACTTAGTGTTTGTTTGGTAGAGATTTTGATAATTGATTTTTTGACCGTTAGAGAGAAAGTGGATCTTACCTCTGAGTGAAAAATTCAAAAATGACGGTTGGAGTAGTGAAATAACAGTCAAAAATAAATTTTAATTGGCTTTTAAGCCCTAACAAACAAGCTCTTAGTTTCTTTCAATCGTCATAAAATTAGAGAGAGAGAGAGATGAATATTCACACTAAGGGTTAAAATTGTCAAAAATACAGAAATAGTTAATCAAAAGTGTTCAATTAAAGATTAAAAAAAAACAGGGGAAAGTTAGATGACCAGGACAACTAAAATAATAAATTAATTTAGGGTGTGCTTGAGCCCCTTTAATTTTGAAAAATATATTACGAAATAATAATTAGATGAAGAATATGTGATTAAAAAAATGAAATTTTTTTAGTTTGCACATAATATTATTTTAATAAAAAATACATGGTTAAAATTGAATACTGTAAAAAAATAATGTGATAGAATGTAAAATAAAAAGTGACAAACAGGGGCTTAATCAGGGCCGGCCATGAGAATTTAGAGGCCCTAGGCGTGTAGTTATTATGAGGCCCTTCAACATAATATTTATTTTACAAGTATAATAATATGTAAATATTAAATAATTAATAATTTTATATTAAAAAGAAAATTTTATACAATTTAAAAGATAGAATAGCAAAATAAAACTTCTCTCACAACCCGAGAGATTAGGTTAGCATAAGATTTAACCTTATCATATTTTGAGATGTAAAATTAGTAATCAAACTACTGAAATCAAGTTTTTTCAATAGAAATCATAGCTAATCCATTCAATCGCTCTTATGACATGGTTGATTGAAGAAAAGATTGAATCAACCTCTACCTATCTTGGCCATGAGTACTAATCAAAATCAGTTTTGCTAATCTAGTTCTATCCCCTTATAGATTATGACATCTTATGTTTAAACTTAACAAATATTTCTCCACAAATCATGAATTTAGGTGTAAATTGGGCGGCTTGGATTGAGTTTCTAGTTACTAAATCAAACAATTAAATTTTGATTGAAAATTATAAAACTGAAAATATTTTATTTGAGAGAGAGAATTGAACTGGTTGGGTTCTTTCATAATTCATACATTAAATATTGATTCTTTTAAATAGATACATATAAATTATTGGCTAAGTTTATTAAAAATAATTGTAGAACTAAATTAAAATTCAATTCTATAACTACAACCAAGAATAAGAATTAAAAATAATACGGACACAAAAAGTATATACATACAAATGAAGAATAAATAAAATAATCTTATTAGTCCTCTATGTTACCTAAACACAACTAATATCCTGTATAATGAATATAAATTATACAAATAACAAATACTCTCATAGCCCAAACAGTAAAACTGTAAAAGAAAAGCCAAATAACCAATCCTCGGTAAGAATGGATCAGAACATCAGCACATGACTAATAGTAATAAATAATCTAGTTCTTGATAAAGGCCATAAAAGACAAAACCAATGAAGAACACACAATCGCGCCCCCTGAAAAGTAAAACCCGAAACCACAGGTCCACCATCCACAAGCAAGTGCAAGTGTGTTGCGTGCAACGACGAAGAACATGAAAAGACAGGCCGAACCTTTAGTCGGGTAATAGCCAATCGGATGATTTCTAACCGGAAGTTTTGCTAGTAGCTAGGTTTTACTTTTCAAGATTGGTACCATATTTTTCTCTGAATTTCTTCAAGTTTATTACGATTCTTGTGGTGTCATATTGGAATTGGAGAAATGGATGGTTTGTTCTCTATTTATCTGCCCAATTTTGTGTTTTTTTTCAAGGGATTTGAGTGGCTTTGGGCCCTTTTTTTTTTTGGGAGGCCCCTTCAAATTCTGAGGCCCAAGGCGGTGGCCTTGTTTGCCTTGGGCCAGGGCCGGCTATGGGCTTAATTATGTTTGACTTTCATTTTTCTTCAAACTCATTTTTAATTACATATTTTACGGAATTAACATCTTTTACAACTTTTCAACCATAAATTTCATTAATTTTTATCAAATTCTACTAAATATTTTCTTTTTATCCCAAACAAGGACTTGCGATGAAAAGATCACTATGTCACAAATACAATTCGAAGCCATGGAGACGCAAAATGAGAATACGAGTCTCAATGTTAGATAGTTCATAGTTCTCATGTGAAGTAATATACTCACAAGAACAAAAAAATTTAGCCAACTACAACTCTTTCAATTTGGACATAATCTATAGAACAAACAATTTCAATTAATATTCCATGCGCGACTGTTTCTCAAATTACAACGAAAGAACGCATTCAACTATCGATTAACATACATTTTTCGAACACTTTATTCAAGTTCTTCACTTGTCCTAGAGAAAGGTGCTATCAAGAATGATCATAAAGTTACAGAAAAAGAAAAAAAATTGATTATTCACCTAATTCCTTGAAGGTCTGTTTTCGGCATTAAAAAAAAAAAGGTCTGTCTAGCTTTGACTATGAAATGGAAACAAAAAGAGGCAGTCTCAACACTTTTCTCCCAGGCGTCAAAAATCAGAACCACCTTGAAGCTGATTCTTGCAACCCGGCGTTACTTGTTAGCAAGATCATGCAATAGAAATGTACTAAACATCATACCTGCAGAGGTTCTCGAAGCCCATGTATTCACGTCGTTCAATCTTTCCAATCATGTTTGAAATACCGACTCCACCTGATTAAGGGAGAAGAAGCCAAAAAAAATAAAAAAAAATAATTCTTAATTGATGTGCTCATTAACAAATCAATTATATGTTTTGGCATGGAAATTTTAATGCATAACACCTAAACATCAATAATACCAATCAATGTGGTGAACCACTTCATCTAAAACCTTAAGAACATGTTTGGTAAGCAGTATTCGATAGGATCAGTTAATAGAATGGACAAAATTCCTTCCTTACTAGGTATCGTACACCGCAATCCATTTGACCAAACATGATATAATCTTTTAAATGAAGTAGTTCATCATGGTATCGGAATCAACTCAAATACTTGGTTTAAGTCGCAACGCTATCATCCATTTATTAAAATTGTCCACATATTAAGCCCTTGAATAAAAATAACTGAATTCGGCATGCATGTGAAGGGATGTGTCGAAGAGAAAATTTAAATAAATAAAGTAGTCCCTTCTACAACAGTTTAAGTTTTAGATTATATGATTCAACTGTTATGTGACAATGGACAATGAAACTCACCTAGAGATATTGCACTGATAAAGATTGTGGATGCCAAAATAAAGATGATTATGGATGCCCTTCCCATTAGAATAATCATCCTTCTCACGAAATGTTGCCCGATAAAAGCAGCAACAGTTGCAACAGCAACAAAGTAAAGTGCTTTCATACAAATGCCAAATAATTAATCAACTATAAACAAAATTACTTATTTTCGGTAGAATCAATATAAGCTCAACATATTATTGAGACAAGATTGTTTAGAGTTGGAAGTAAACTTACCATAAGGAACTGGAAACCGTTTCAAGAGGTGATATTCGACAACAGACATTGATGATGAGAACATCATGGCAAAGGTGGCCGTGGCACTTGAAACCTGAAATGAAGTCCAGAAACTATTATCATCAGGTTTCTTCAAAACGTACGAGTGTGCAAGAGAAACTGTAATAGGGCTTTTTTATTCTACACCTTGCAAGAAAACGAGTAAGGAAAAGAAAGAAAAAAAATATTTGAAGATCCCTTCCATGATTATTAAATATTGAATGCTATCCCACGATTCAATCCCGACTTTATTCAATAGAGACAAGTAAAAATGGCAAAAATTGTTCTGGGACTCTACTGTTAGTCAGCACTGATTGTGCCATTAAGTAAATTCTTTTGCTTATCTATTTGAGATCGAGAATTTGATTGAGTACGTCGTCTCTGCTTGCCATTAAGGATCAATAGTTCAGTCTTCTATTTTGTCATTTGGCTTATTAACCAAACTAATTCATTTGGCCAACCTTAAAAGGTTTACTTGCAAGTAAACAAGTTCTTAAAAATAAATAATTTTTTATTTGTTAACGTAGGAAATTAGTTTTGAAAGTAACGTAATAGCACAAGTAACTTTTTTTATCCAAAATAACTAAAAGTAAGCTAACACAAAAATGCTTACAGGTCTTTCTCGTGCAAATCATTTAATTGGATTACTCAAAGAACTGAAAATAATAAGACCACAACCTTCTGTGTTGACTGAGACAAAAAAATGTCTGCTTAACAGCATTTGAGGAAGGGCTAACGCTCACCTGAGGAGGGACTCCCAGCTCCAAAAACAGTGGACCCATTATAAATCCACCTCCTAGACCAAGAAGGCCACCTACCAAACCAGCCAATACGCCAAAGAAGCAATATGTAATCAGTTGTTGCACTTGCAAGTTGGTTCCTGAGTCACCCTTGGACGCAATTTTTCTCCATCCCTTGTACAGGCTAATTGCTTCATAACCAGATACACCGAGAGAGACAGGGATCTGTAGAAACATGGAAGGATAATTAGGCAAGAACACGTTAAATTTTGTTTTTTTACCTCTTTCAAAGTCAGTATTTTTGTTAAAAAAACTGCATCTTTTTGTGGATTAGATACACTTGTGGATATTGAACTCATAGCGAAATTTCACGTTGGCTTTATTTGTTTCGAGTTTGTCACTTAATATAAACTTTGTTACAATTTGGATGCTATGTCCATATTTGTTAGACTAATGGAGAAGGTGATGTGGGAATCTAGTTATTTTCCAACTAAGCCATCAGCTAAACTGCCACGTCGCCTTAGTCAAACAAAAGGATATAGACGAAATGATCAAATTGTACCAAATGTTTTAAGTTCAGCGGCCAACATGAAATAAAGATTGATTTTAGTGATAAGCTTGGAGCAAAATGATATTTAGAGACTAATATGAAGTTTCGCTAAAAGTCAGTGATCACTATTGTCTTTAACCCACCTATTAACAGTAATAACAAGAAGCCTTGGGAATAAATTTTATCCCGATTTGATGAAAATATGTACATCATCAGTACATACCTGCAGCAAGTTCACCACCCAATATACTGTCGTACAAGTAGCCGTATAGTTCTGTTCCAAAATGAGGCCAAGTGGTTCATTAATAAAAGTTCAAGAAGCACCAAGAGAAGCTTCTTCATAAAATATAACATAAAAAGAAAGTAGCAAATGAAAATAAAATGAAACAAAACCTTGGTGATCTGCAGCACAAGAAATGCAATCCAAACAAAAACAAGAAGCCCAAATTCCTTCCAACAAACATTCTCAAGAATAGAGACCTGCAAATGCATTAATGAGAAGTTCAGAGAAAATTAGGAATTGGACATCAGCATCTTAGATTAGTTTTACCTCTGGTTCTGCCAACTCTTTGACTTCCTTTTCCATGCCATTCCTGGGGCCGCCAGGAAGAAGCTTGTATTCTGTATCTTCTGTACCATTGCATAACGCAAAAGGAAGGGCACATACTTTAATTCAATGAGAAAACAAAATGCCAAAAAGTGATTGAATAAAAAAAAGTCAGTCCTTTAGGACAGAATGAAGAATCTCCTAATCAACCCACCATTTACGTCTAGCCTCTTTGCAGCCTCCTACAGAAAGAAAAATGATTGGTAATAAGCATGAAAGACCAGCAGTTTAAAGATTATGGAAAAGGACACCAGAAATATATGTTGCATGTTATTCTGGTGGCAATTTGAGTACGTATAACTTCACTCTGGGGCAGGCGTAGCGGCCCAGCCCAACTGAAATTATCCAAGTAAAAAGTTAAATAAATTAGTTTTATGCTTAAATTTAGCATAACTATTCATTTCCCATCCCAACAAAAATTATCTAAGGGTTTGTTTGATTTCAAAGGTAGAAAAGGCAAACCAATTTCATATAAGTTGGGAAAGAGAAGACCTATGTAGCACGGACACTCTAACCAGGGTAGCGTGTCCGTGTCCGACACGTGTCGGATACGTGTCGTTACCGACACTCTTCGGACACTCTGCAATAATCATTTTCCTTTCTTACCATAACTATTATATATTTTTAATTCAAAGTTTCTATTAATAACAAATAAGTACTCATATTTAAAAGATTTCAACAAAAAAGAATCAATAATAAGTATAAAACTAAATTTAAACTACGTAAATGAAGAATTTTAAAAATTTAATGAACGTGTCGACAACGTGTCGTGTTGGTACTTTTTTGAAAAATCACGAGTCGACGTATCCGACACGTATCGTGTCGGACACACGTATCCGTGTCGGTGCATCATAGGAGAAGACCATCAAACCCACAGGAACGCATTTTTCATGGAATTGACTAAAAACATGCTTTAAGTGTTTGTACCTTGAAATTCGAATTCCGTTTTCACTTTCGTATCAAACAGCCAAAGTAAAAAACGAATTCCTCGAATGTGATATTTTTCATGGAATTCACTCCAATCAAACGAACACTAAGTGTAAAAAAATAAAAATAAAAAGATTTATGCTTAAGTCTAGCCCAAATATTCATTTTAGCCTAATCAACCTTAGTTCTAGCCCAAACCCAATGTTCAAGTGCCAAAATTTACTTACAGACTCCAAATTGTATATTCATTTAATTCAATTCATACAATATTTTTTTAACTTAATCGCTCTTTTGATTTCAGAAAAAAACTTCATCTATCAATATACAACTTATTTCACACACACATCTTGACTCCTTATTGGAGAATGCCAATAGTTAGGATTCATTAAAAAATTATAGAATCCACTCATGAGGGAGAAATCTTTGTCGTATCAGGCACTAATCAAGTCGGTGCATCATAGGAGAAGACCATCAAACCCACAGGAACGCATTTTTCACGGAATTGACCAAAAACATGCTTTAAGTGTTTGTACCTTGGAATTCGAATTCCGTTTTCACTTTCATATCAAACAGCCAAAGTAGAAAACGAATTCCTCGAATGTGATATTTTCCATGGAATTCACTCCAATCAAACGGACACTAAGTGTTAAAATAAAAATAAAAAGATTTATGCTTAAGTCTAGCCCAAATATTCATTTTAGCCTAATCAACCTTAGTTCTAGCCCAAACCCAATGTTCAAGTGCCAAAATTTAGTTATATTCATTTAATTCAATTCATACAATATTTTTTTAACTTAATCGCTCTTTTGATTTCAGAAAAAAACTTCATCTATCAATATACAACTTATTTCACACACACATCTTGACTCCTTATTGGAGAATGCCAATAGTTAGGATTCATTAAAAAATTATAGAATCCACTCATGAGGGAGAAATCTTTGTCGTGTCAGGCACTAATCAATTTTGATATCTATTTATGAAAAACTTGTTAACAATCATACATTCTTGATAAATTTTAAAAATACACTTATAATTAAATAAGTAAAGTTTATAATAAATAATTTTATTGATTAAAGCTAAAAATAAATGACTTATTTTAATAGTAAGAGATGCTACATGTTTGGCTAAGCCTAAATGTAATTTTTTCTATGTATGTTTTCACATATCACTTATTCATACTTATAAGTAAAAATTTACTTTAATTATGAAATAAATATTATCAAAATAAATAACTTTCCTCTAGTTATTATTAGTAAAAAGAATATTCGTTAAAATTTTATTTATTTATAAATCAATATAATTATAAGTATATATTCTTTAGATATTATTAGCAAAAATAATATTTGTTAAAATTTTATTTATTTATAAATCAATATAATTATAAGTATATATTATTAAAGTGAGTCAAACGTGAACATGAAACAAAATCAATTTTTTCCAATCCCTCATTATTCTAGATCGATTTTTCCCATGTGAGGTAGTATTAGAATGTGTTGTATAGAAGACCAATGCTCATTTCAAACAATATTTCAAGAACAATGACATACAATCATGTAACTTTCATTGTGTTTTGGCCAAAAATTTTCAATTGTTTGGTGAACGACTGGTTGTTAAATTTCTTTGAGATTTATGTCTCAGAAGAGTACTCATTAAGTATTTTCTTAGTTTTTTATTGGTAGCTACATATCCTTTACCCATGCTTATCATGCTTCCGCTACTTTATATTTCCTAGGAATGTCGTTAATTTCTTATTTGGCAAGGAAAGCTATAAATATATAGCAGGACATCTTCGAACTGACATCTAGATTTGTACTTACTTGAGTAACATACTCACTTTGTCACAAGTGTTATAACTTAGCATTTTAATCTAGATCTCATGTGGTGTAGAGAATCTCTTATGGCGTAAGTTCGTTGATTTCTTTTTTAGCCAAATCCAACATCTTATTCTGGCTCTACCCCTGGTGAAAAATTACATTCACCATCAACGTAAAATATGATATCAAAGTGAGAGCATGTTTGGCTAAGCTTAAAAAAAGTAAAATTTGCTTTTCAATTAACTTTTTGTTGTCAAGCATGTTTGTATATATTGCATTTTTTATTTTATTTATTTTTACTTAAAATTGTAAGGTATTTGAAGTTTACTCTAACTATTATACAAACTAACCAACCAACCAGTCCAACTATTTGTATTTAAGTAAACTTTTTTAGTCCTAGACAAACATGCTCTAAATTTTTTTACACGCTGATGGAATTTTCGTACATATGCTGTTCAGCATCAATATGTCATCAAAATGTGTAAGAACGGTGAATTTTACGAGTACCTTTTTTATGATAGTTTCTTTCTTCCATGTTTCAACACCTCTCATAAAGGCCTTGGTTGATGTTCCTGTAACCACCATATGAAGTAAAAATGTTGCAGAAAAAGCAGGATTCAGAAGGAGAGGGGGGAGGGGTGCAAAAGGACGACGTATTACCTATGAAGAGAATGATTAAAAGAACGGTAACCATCCAATCAGCAAATATCACATTGAAAGCAACTCCAATACTAATTCCAAGCATAAGCATTGGTTGGATGAGAACAGCCAGGTCGTAGTCAATAATGGGCATGTCAAGTGTTGGATGCCTGAGCTTCAGGTTGTAGTAAACCGTCGAGACTGCAGCTCCCATGATCATACCTGACAAATTAGAAATAGTATTTATGTAACTTCCTTTAAGCGCAAAGAAATTTAAGTAAATAAATGGAAATGTAGAGTTTGTCAACAGAAACACAAATATTTATATAACTAATCAATTTCAGCCATCTATATACTATCTCCAGCTGCATTTTTTTTTCGGTTTCTAATAAATATAAGTCAGTGCAACTATTGCACAGTGAATCTTGCGCAAATCACTGAGTGTGACAGTGCTTCAGAACAAACAGAGGAATCCCTTTGTCAAGGATGATTCAGTGATTGGTAAAGAAGGTAAACATAAACTTTTCCGAAACTTTGGACATGCCTCTTCTGTAGCCACAACATTATAAAGTTATGAAAACATGCAAGCCGCGTGACTCTTGATGGTTTCTAACATATTAACTTCTACAGCTGAAAATATTTGCAATGAAAACTTGAAGTCACCACTCGGAGCATGGCTAAGTCTAAAAAATAGTTACAAGCACTTCTTTGGAAAGTAAACACAGATAGGCTTCAGATAATACTAGTTTCTTAATAACTCCTGAAACGTGGACACGTGATTGGAGGAAAAAACTCCTTAAAAGTAACTTTTTAAGCTACTTTCACTATTTTAGGCTTAGCCAAATATGCTCTAAATTTCTTCTTTAAAGAATTACAAGGAAACCCCAGTAATTGCCTTGTCGAATTTAAATCAGTTCAATCCACAGCAAACTCAGTAAATTCACTGAAGATGTGGCACAAGGACTATCTTAACATTCCGGGTTATTTGTTATATCAATATGCTCGTCTCTCACATTTCGATATCGCAGTCGCAGATTTTGGATCGAATCCAATAATCAAGGTGAGCATAGGAACGAATATGCCACCGCCACCAACACCACCTACACTTCCAAAGGCTGCTCCACAAAATCCAATTATGCTACCAACGATAATTTTCCATCCGAGCTCCAGATCCTGTACATGAAATCCAAATTAACAAACATGAAAAATCTTTCATATCACATCAAAAATATGAAAACATGGTTATCCACAGGGAACAAAAATATTAAACTCATCAACACTGATAACGTTCAAAGTTGATTGGTTTTATCTACAGGGATCCACTTGATGATGTAATTGATTTTGTCTATTATGAATGGGATCCATCTATAGAGTTAGGTGAACATTAAATATGCTTTCATATCCACCACCAACCACCAACAAAATCATTTAATGCTTCACAAATATATTCCATCATTCAAAGTAGGAAAAAAAATTCAAACAAAAGAAACTGAATCAACAAATGTGATTTACCGGCCAAACATGCTTGTAGCCTGATTCATTTGCTTGCCATAAGAAATTCGTAAAAGCTGAAAATAGCTGGAAATCTGAAGTCGAATCATTTGATGAAGATTCTGTCTTTAAGCTTCTTTCAGCAGAAACAAAAATTGAGGCCAACGAAAAGCTCCATATAATTGTAAACAATGGCTTAAAAGCCCTCCACTTTTCTAGATCCCACGCCATTCAAAATCCAAAAATTCCTTCCTTTTGATTTCACAAGCAAATTTTATTTTAGAAAAAATTCTGCCCTGATTTCAAAAGGGCTTCTTTCTTTATGTGTAAAATTCTTGATTTTGCTGAGTGCAAAAAGAAAACAAATGTATAGGTGGGAATTTTTTTCTTGGACGGTCGATGGAGAAATGAAGAGGGCAAGAAATCTGTGGCTGAAATGTTTCACATTAGAGAGGGAGAAAATGGGAAAACAAAATTCGAAGCAAACTATATAAGGCCCCGTTTGATTGCACGAAATTTTCCATGGAATTTGGAATTCGAATTTCAACTTCCACTTTTGGCCTGTTTGATTGACAAAATTTTCCAGGGAATTGATTTTCCATGAATTTCTAGGTACAACACCTTAAAGCGTGATTTTCCACTTTTTTTTCCTAGGGGATAGGTGGTTTTTGGTTTTCCACCTTTTTTTTATTTTTTTTTGCTTTTTTTATTTTTTTTTAATTGTTGGCAATGGGAACAAATTTTAGGAATAATTGTAAAAGAGGATATCCCTGAAATTGACAATTTCCACGTAAAACAAAGTCAAACGAACATCAAAAAATACTTTTACTTCAACATTTTCCACGTGAAAAATTTATACAATCAAACACAATAATTTACAATTTCCATGAAAATAATTTCTAGGTAATTCAATTCCTTGGAATTCATTTTCTTTCCATGTAATTTTCCTACTTGTAATAATTGAATTAAACGACTAAAATTGAACTGAATAATGGCTTAATTGGAAAATAAAGGATTAAAGCGACAAGTCAGTGGATAGGACGAACAGAAAGTAGGCTACTTGAGCGCATTAAACGACAGAGTATCAAAGTGACTAATGCCCGGGGCATGCTTGGATTTTGATTGTGGGGGCCAACGCTTTTTATTCATACACGTGCTTTTCAGTACATGTTATCTCTTGCTTTGGCTCATGTCATGCTTTTTTATTTTATGAACACATTATTCCACGTGACAGCAATCCATACCCATTATTTTAACAATCATGACAGTGTTTGTTGACAATTATCGTCACATTCATTCATTTCAAAAAAAAAAAAATTAAAAATAAATTTTTTAAATCAATTGTCTCGATCTTACCACATCATACATTGTCAATAAACTTAATCAATTATGATTGTATAAGTCGATTAATTCTAATTTTGAACACGTTCATCTCATCACTGACCGAATTTCTTCCACCTAAGAGAATATCAAACTTGTTGTCAACCAAGAATGTACATCCTAAGTAATGCTATTTAACTCCCGTTGGAATTGCTATCACGGTCTAAATGGCGCTAACATGACATTAAAAATGATAAATGGAATTAAATGAATTATTTAAGTTCACTTTTTTATTCAACGTATCATATAACGTCACTTAAACTGAAGTTGTAACTCCAATGAGGCTACGTAGCATTACTCATACATCTAATTTTTTCTCACACTTTTTGCTTAATTTTTTCTTTTTTTTTATAACGTAGAAATCCGTAGCCGCTACCCTTCGAGTGCATACTAGATAGATCATCGGGCTGATGCAATAGACTGCAAATCACTTTTTACTTATTTAAAAAAAAAGGTTGAACTCCAATCATAAGGGTCCCCCACCGTCCCGCCCCTAGAGCTTTGTGAGGGAGGTAAATCGCGGGATGTGTCCCAACAGGTCAGGGAACAAAAGCTGAATATACACTGCGCCTACAAGGAGTCCAATTCCATGTCTCAGGAATCGAACCCTTACACTGCGACTGTCAGCAAAGTGTAAGATAATCTCACTCCTATCCTTTATACCGTTGAACTATGTCCCAGGACGACTTTTTACTTAATTTTATTTTAGGTAAAGGAGGTACTATTGTTGTCTTTTTGAATGTACGACACAATGTTCTTTTACCCATCTTTGTCACGGGACTGAACAATTTTTCACCATTATTTTCGGTGCAGGTTGTACGAAATCAATCTAGACACAGGAAATTTTAATTATTGAAGATCAAAAGTTACAAGATTGAAAGGCTAAGATCCAAACAGGTGACAATTTTAACCAGCCTTACCAACCGGTGCTTGATTGGGGTCTCCACTACAACAAAACTTTGTTAAAAATTGAACTCCTTTAAACTAAGATCTTTTTGATATTTTACTATAAAAGTAAATAATTATGCTACTGTAATCAATTCAATCGATCTTGATTCTAGAATCTTCCTGCCTCTCTTTTGCACTCGCCTTCTTTCACATTATTTTTTATATTATTTCTATTTTTACGATATTTTTAGGATTTGGTATATTCCTATAAATATATGGCTCTCCATTCAGTTTAGATGAAGTATTATTGCTCAGTTCTTTGTATTCTCTGCATATTGTTTTGAATAAAACACCAATTCCTCTACTAATTTCTCGTCAATTGCTTTACTTTAATCTTGTTTCTATCTTTGTGATCTTGTCTACATCACATATCTCATATTGTGTCATTGAATCCCAATTCTTGCATCCCCCCCAGGTCCAACAAGTGATATTAGAGTAATTCTGGCAACTTGTTTATTCCCAATAGTTGAAAGCAATGAGATGTTTTATTAAGATGGTTTAGAAACTGCGAGTTTCTGTATAACAGTAGTTTTTTTGTGCTCTGTGTGCTTCTCATTTGATATTCTCTTTCTTACCATAATTAATTTTTTGTTGATTGGTCTCCGAGCATTTGTCTAAATTTTCCTGCACGCAACATTTCTAACATATCTTTTTCTTGCTTAATAGATTCAAATTTCTTGATATGCACAACAAATTCGATTTCTTGCTAAGCAAATCAATGTTTAAAAAGAAAAAAAAAACAAAAAAAAAAAAAAAAAAAAAAAAACATAAATGAGGTGTGGGAGTCCCCATCCCACCTTAAGTGAGGATTAAGAAGAGGCCAAAGCGTGAAAATCACTCACGAAATAGGGAGTTAATCTTAGTTTGCTTAATGCTACTAGAAATTAATTAATCATTTTCTTAGATCCCAGTGTTTGAAACTATAATTTAAAGAGATAAATTGACTTTAGCACAACCTCTATAATTACAATTTCCTAAAGAATGTGAGGTGCCATGGTAGTGGTGGAGAAGAAGAAGAATAAGAAAAGAGCAAGACAAGATCCTTGTATTGTGGTAATGTTTTGGTTAATTACTCAAGATGGATCTTTGATAAATTGATTAGAAATGTCAACATTTTTTTTAATAAGTCAAAAAAAAAATGCACTTCCTGTTTTATATTTTTAAACTATATATTGTACATATTACATTTTTTTTCCTTTACATATGTTAAGTTTAAGAAATTAAACACTCCAATACAATAAAATTGGCATGGAATAAAGTTTAAAAGTTTAAATTAAAATTTTAATTCTTTTTCTATTATTTTTTAATTATTTTTTTCATTATTTAAGATAAAAAGTCATTCTAAAATATTATTTTTGTTAACAGAACTTCTTTAAACTAAAATGTTTTTCTTATTCAAAATTAAAAATAAGAAATATAAAAAAGATAGATTTAAATATTACATAATAATAAAAAGGTCAAATGAGTAAGGTATATTTGTTTTTATCTATAAAGAAATTTTTGAAAAGATGGTTGACGCTGATCAAAATAATTAAAGATTCTGAATCAAGAATTTTAAAAATATCACATGCCAAGACAAAGTTTTGGACAGTTTCGTTCGAAAGGACCTGCTTATACTTTAATGGACACTTTTAGTGTTTCACTTAAAGTAAAAGATGATTGAGAAATAAAAATTACTGTTATAAATGGTAAGTTTATTAACGAACTACAATTGTACTTCTACAGTTCTAAAAATTATTGTCGTTATATCTCTGATTATTCCATACAAATATCGGGCTTTGGTCCTTGATAAAATACATACAGAGTCACAGACTCCATTTGGTAGCTCCTTTTTTTAAAATGCATTTTTCTCTTTTTTTTTTAATCACACATTTTTTATTAAAATAATATTATATGTAAATTAAAAACTTTTTCTTATTTCTCAACCACACATTTCACATCAATTTACTATTCTAAAATACATTTTTACATAAAAATGCATATCAAACACCTCTTCAGGTCTATTAACTGCTCCCTATTTTCTTCTCCTCTCTATTTTCATAACATATTATCAGCATGAAAACTTAATTTTAAAAATAATAATTTATTTTGAAGTATAATCATCTATCACGTGTATCAAAATTAATTTGATAACATATGAATTTTTTGCTACATATAATACGTAATTCTGCCATCATTTGCCCGTCATAACTTGTGTACATCTAAATTTGCATGCCATAATTCTATCATAATTTGTATGCCATAACTCACATGTCATAATTTTGCCTATACAATTGAAAAGGGTATTCGAATTCAGAATTGATGTGTGAGAATTTGATTGACCCATCATTAATTGCTGTCATCATTAATTGTTGCCATATCATTAATGGTTGTCACCGTCATTAATTGTTACATTGCATAAATATTTGTCTTAGACCTTTTCATCCATCAATTATCACGTTTTTATTTTTTTCAATACCCGGCAAAATTTATTAATTTATTGTTGCTCCTGTCGTAATTTATTGTTGCTTCTAAAATAGCACTGCATTATAGTTAATATTTTTGAAGAGTATTACCTACTCTTGAAGAGTATAAATTATAATTTTCAATATTTCAGAAGAATTTTGACATATTGCTCTTGAAAAGAAAATAGTAAAATAAAATGTTAAAATAAAATGTGTTCTTGAGGTAGCGCACGTTTCAAAAAATATATTATTTTAAATTAATATATCCTTGAAGAAAAACACACAGCTTATATCATATTGATATTACTTGATTAACTATTATGTGATGTTTAATCATATTTTTTCGAAATTAATTGTATTTTCTTTTACTTTGGTGTGTAGTTAATCAAATGGAAAAAAATCACAGAACTTGACTTTGTTGCACTTGATATATCTAGCAAAATTATCTATTATAAATACTCGATATTGATATCCACCTTATCTCAAAATTTTTGGGAGAAACAGTAGCAGAAGGAAAACAATGAATCCCTACTGGATCATGCAAAAGTACTTATATTCCTTCATTATCATCTTCATGAAGGATTAAAAATTGAATATCTCACTGAAGAAAATCTACATGCTCTTTGAAAAAAAATTAACTGAAAGATGTGATCATTAGAGGACTATAGTCCTCCTTAATGCCCACTATGAATAGATGCACTTTCGTTTGTAAG